TCAGGGTTCCATTGCCCCGCTGGCAGCTAGCCTACTACAGGCAGCCTCTTGGTGCTTTAACCCTCATCCCATTCGTATAGTCTGGACCCCAGGCCACTCGGGCCTGCCCGGCAACGAGGCGGCAAATGCCGCTGCCCGCGCTTCTCCTGTCCGGGCCGTTGCCCCTCATGTCCCGAGACGGAATCTGGCAATACCAACCTGACGCGCTTTCGCGAAATTTTGCCTTATTACCGGGCTTCGCGCCGCCTCTACCCGGACCCCGCACGCGGTTTGGAGAAAGCGGACGAACGACTGCTATGCCGCCTGCAGACTAACACCTTTATCAGTCCGGCGGTCGCCAGGCACTTTTTGCCGGAAATCAATGGCACCTGCTCGACCTGTCGTGTCCTCGCCGACACATATCACGTCGTAGCATCGTGCCCAGTTAATCCCGTTTCTTTCTCATCCCCTTTTCCTATTCCAACTAGAGAGGCTTGGGCGGAGCACCTGCTCGGCTGCTCTACCTTGGCTGCGCAACGCTCCTTGGTGGAGCGCGCACGGGCAGCTTCCAGCTCCACTGGCGTCCCGGAATAGGGTCTGGCCACTCTAGCACGCCGATGGGCCACGTCGGCACTCTCTAGTAGACTTTTTCTGAAATAAATGTTTTTTACCACCTCCACCACCACCACCATCGCGCTGCGTTGCTTTGACGCATGCGCGTTTCAGCACGTCCAGCGTCCCTCTGTCACGAAAAGAGAGAGGCACAGTGTTGACTGGGTAATCAGTGCAAAATGCGACATGGTGCATTTCGCGCTGGTTGCCGTCAAGCCGCGCCGACGGACGCTAGTTGCGCCTGGCGTAATGCTATAGAGTGCTCACGTTTTGCTATTGTAGCGTCGCTGGGTCCAGTGTGCGCGCGCGTCAAAGCTACATAAGAGTATATTAGGCCCTTCATGATGCGATCGTCGCCCTTCTGCTAGCTCCTCATATACCAAACTTGGTGTTACGTGACGTCAATGGATGACGAAATGTAGGACTGGTGCAAATTTGATTATCCTGACACGCGTGTCTTGTAAGAACATGACAACATACCGCGCTCATAGCGTGCTCGCGAGTGTTTCGCTATCTCCACGTACACTAAATTTGGTATCACGGGACGTGAATGGATGACGAAAGTAAGCGACACATCCAAACATGATAGTCATGTAACGGAAGTCATGTACGGCATCATTTACCTCCACCTCGAGTTGGTGTGCTGATTTTGAATTGAAATTCCTATTGTAAAAACCAGTGCCACAGGGTTCCAGCGTCCAGCGCAATGGCACAGTATTGGCCCAGTAATATGGGCCCAGTATTGGCGCTGGTACCAGCGCCTCCCAGCACAGGTACTGGGATGCCGGAGCGGCAGCGTCCGAGTACTCTGCGCAAAATGGCTTCACAGGGTTAAAACGCGAGTGCCCATTCGCCATAAATAAATATATAGATAAGTAAAATAGCGCGCATTAATAATTAAACAAAAAAATAAAACGTCTTCTGACAAGATTCAAATTCGCCACCCCCTGATTTTGAACCGAGTACGCTACCCACTACACCACGCCAGAACATGCAAGTGAGGTTGCAAAATGAATATTCAACTGAAGAACGCACCTTTCAACTTCATGTTTACAAGTCGAACTATCAAGACTGACACGATATTCCTTTCCAAATAACAATTGCGTCTTGATTCGGCAGTGATGAATGGCTTCCGGGCACTGAGTGACGTGCGGATATTAGCAAGAGCGCAAAGTTTTTTGAAGCATCCACATCTTGACTCTGAAAAATGTCAAATTGACTGGAGGAGCAGCCACAGATTTTCAGCTGTTGCTGCCGATAGTTTTTTTTTTCTTTGATAGTCGGTTCTCGCGCTTGCTGCTTGTCAACATGTCCAGTTGATTTAAATGTCCGTTTCAGCAGATATCCGCGCACACGAGTGAATATTGAGTTTTTTTTTCCGTGCAAGCGACGATGTAGCAGTACACACCCGGCGTGCCAGATTACATATTTGCAGTTATATCGATACCTTCAACTAAGAATCCACCGAAGAAAATACTTATGCAATCCACTGAAAAAGTATGCCAGCGTGTTATTTCACTAAGGTGTACCAAATTACCTATGCGAAATTGCGTGTTCGTACATACGAGTCAGAAAAGTACCGGCTCCTGCACTCAGAAGGAAGCTTTCGGTGACAGCCTACGTTGGTGAAAGCACGACACATCGATCGTCGCCGCTCCTTGTGTGGGCAGCGCACACACGAATAAGTGGTCGATTTAGGCTCAGCAATGTGTAAACTGCACTTTACAGTCATTTGTACAATTTAGAATTGTGCCTTCCTAAAGTAAAAAGCGCCCGTAGCATGTACACCGACGCGGCCGGCAGGATATAGGCCTCGCTGGGACGGGGCACTGGGTAAGGCTGCTCTCGAAGGAGCTGAGTTGCGATGCTTCAAGTTTCTGAATTTGAGCTTTGCAACATTTATAACTGTTACCTAAACTGTACGTAGAGTAAGTGGAAGGTCAATCAATGCTAGAAATGCAATTACGGAGTGACGATGCTGAGTGACGGTCGTTTTTCTGACCTCCGCTGACAGTATACAGCGGGCGTGCCAGTGCACAGTTATATGCAGTTATATCAATGCCAATAATTATAAAAAAACACCCATAGAAATACCGTAGCAATCAGCTGAAAACGTATGCCAGGGAGTCAGTTTACGACGGCGTACCAAATTACCAACTGAAGATTGCGTGTTGTTAAATATCAGTCAGAGAAGTACCGGCTAAGTGCGGCCAGCAGCTTTCGGTGACAGCTTGCGTAGCAGAAAGCGCGACGTTCGATCGTTAGCGCTCCTTGTGCACGCGAACATTGACACAAGGCAAAATCGTTGATTTAGGTTCATGTATGTCTAAAGTACACTTTACAGTTATTTTCACGCATTAAAATTGTGTGTACCCGAAGCAAGAAGCGCCGGTAACATATACACCAACGCGGCTGGCACGATATAGGCTTAATGCTCGCTAGACAGGGCTCTGGGAAAGACCACTGTCGACGCGGTGAGTTGGGATGGTTGAAGATTCTGCATTTGAGCTTCGGAACATTTCTAACTCTTACCAGAAGTAAGTAGAAGGATACGCATGGCCTGACATACATTTATGTGATGTGGTGGAATCGAACGACAGCTTTTTTCTCTCCTCCGCTGGAAAACCTTGCGAAGCGATCGAGAGAGCTCATTTACGTTTCGTAAACTTTGCGGCAAAAACAATCTCCTGTTTCTGTTAGGAGTAGCCTGCAGCTCCAGGCTTACAAACACTGCCACTTGGAATCGTTACAGCAATACACGGATGATGCGAATGTGGCCGGTATACACTGGGGCATATGTGAAAGAAACTCCCAAGCATTTCCCCGAGGTTGAACATGGTTAAGTGCGAATGCACGGGGTAATGCTATTAGGGGGAGTAAAGTTGAAATTCGCTGACATTCACCAAGTAGCTAATGTAAACTCCCCTGTGTGATAACATTGCGATTCCCAGAAACCTTTAGACCCTCTTGGGAAATCTTGGTGAGTTTACGCGTATATCTAAGAGTAAGTTCGCACTATAATGATGTTTATGCTTGCGACCCGCTTCGCCCGCTTGCGCTCGGCATCACGGGCCCTTCGCCGCGCTGTTGTCTTCAACCGGCGCGACATCTTCAACGATGCGTGCAATGCTCGCATTCGGTTGCGTTGTACTCGTTGTTGGAGGTATCGCAGTTGAGGTTGATGCCTGCGATGGATCCATACCTATGACGACTTGCCGATCTCGAGCAAGTCGTGGCTGCGCGGGCGCAGAGGGCGGAGCACGCGCAATCACGTGGTGTGTGACATCGCTGCGCCGTTGCTACAGACGCTCCTCTCCGCTTCTCGCGCCGTTGCTAGGGGAGAGGAGAAGGCGTACCGTGGACGGCGGATTCAGGGTCGCTTGTAAAGTGCATTCGCACTTAAAAGGTGCATTATAATTGCTTCGATACGTACGTGCGCCGAAAAAATTACGTATGCTCAGTATGTGTTAGGGTAGCATCTCTCCATGCCGTCGAATCAAGCGTTTTATATTCAACGACACCGAAACATAGCAAGGCACATGCTACAATAACGTGCACGCTGCACTGGTTGAAACAGTGCGTGCTCCAGTATTCCCCAGTGCTTGCTAGTGAAAATTCCAGCTCTTCCAGTGCTTCGCAGCGCGCACCAGTATCACAGCGGTTGAGCTAGCACCCCTTCCAGTGCGACACAGCTTTTCACCAGTGGACCCAGCGAAGTGCAAGTGATTACAAGCGTGTACCAGTGTCTCTAGCGTGTACCAGTGCCGAAAAACGTGCTGGCATCACGCTGTTTTTGCAATAGGGTTATCAACACTTCTCATTCGTGCTTCGCATATCATCGATTCTCGCTGTACGTGGGATCTGCCAATTTGTTTTCATTTTTCTTGTTTATATTAGAATTACTTCTAGTAACATTCGCTATAACGTTTTACAATCATTGTCTGTTCGTTCTCTTCATTACTGTTTGCAACCGAAAAAAATGAGCCCTCACTTATTCATACTTTTCCGTATATATAGACTGATGTGCCACATTTTACACGAAGAGTTTATGGTCATTTTTCATATAAGTGTATAACCTGAAAATGAAGAGACCTCCAATGCAGTGCTTATAAGTTACAAAAAGCAGTTCACCACGTGAAGGAACGTCAAATGGTGCATTTGGTGACTGTCTCTATGGAATGCGTGAGGAAAGTGCGGCACCCTTGCGCTTGAAGTTAAACATTTTTTATATGTAATGTATATGTTAGGACGCTTCTTCAAGATTAAAATACTAGATGTCAAGGGAGGATATCTGAGCTTCTTTTGTTATTCCGGTGAATGCGTATTCAGGCTACGTTCTTCATAATCTGGCCACGTGATTTATTTTACGAAGTCAGAAAAGCACTTACTGCAAATACAGTCACAGGTACCCTTATTGTTATCTTTGCAATGGGAAGTATCACCTTCGGGACAGGCTGCCCACGCTTGGCTACAAGCATTTCCAGCGGCTGCAAATAAAATGAAGCATGTCGTCCAGGAAAATACTCTTTCTCGAAAAACACCAACTTGGGTCTATTTGAGACTCTAACTGAGCGCTCGCCAACAAGCGGCCGCGCCTGGAAACGGTGCTAACAGGGTCAACCTTGAAAAAAGACATGTTACCACATTGCACTCGGTGTGGACCGGACGCACAGTTCCTTCATTTTCACCATGCCAACCGCGCAAGTCCAAAAAAGAAGAAAGTTGGCTCCAAAGACTATTCCAGTGTGCCACAGTGCCTTCATTGTGTTGAATAGTGGCAACATATTGTTTTTTGACTTTCTCATCGATGCAGACGATGCGTGGTGCAGAACGCCAAAAATAAGGCACTTATGCATTGGAAAAAAGGTGATAGACACTACGTTAGCTTGTTTTCATCAATACACTAGCGACGTCCTCATTCTGCTCAATGAGTCCACAATTATTAGGCTTGTGTGCATTCTTATGAACATTCAAGCTTCTGTAAGTGCGGAGTATATTTTCATATATGTAAGCAAGCACTTTGAGAAATTTATTGCGTTACGTGAGGGAATTTCTTTTTGCATATGCTTGTTTTCTGCGAAAGTCATAGTGCTACCTATTCAAAATTTAAGCGGCGGAAAACCTTCGCCCCTCCCCCCCCCCCCCGAAAGCTTTGATTTCGCATGTATGTATAAAAACGCGCATACAAAGACGCGAAGGTCGCACGTGCGCTTGTGCATACGTAGTATGTTTCTGCGTTTATACTTCACGTCCGTACATTCATAGCATGCGCAGTCTGCGTGCACATATCGGCTTTGAATATATACTACTGCCAACACGAACAAGCGAGTGTTCAGAAGGACACCACCTTAGTCATCAGAAAACTACTGGCATGAATCGTCTAACGGAAAAAGAGGAGCACTCCTATTACAAATAAAACTGCAATTTGCTTCATCTCAAGGAACAGATCAGGCATAGCTTCATTCTGTAATTAACTGAACGTCATGCGTATTGAAATTTTGAAGGAACAACGGAGCTGAGTGGGATACATGCTTTCGGCAGGACGTTTGAAACAGAGTAGTTACGTCGAAAACTGTATAAGTCTTGGTAGCAGTGTGTCAACGCAGCGCAAAAGTGCTAGCACCTCTAAAGGAGGCCTGCTACACATGGGCATTTGCCTCCTTCTACCTCGGGCTCAATATACAGGGTCGTCAACTTCAAGTGAATCTGGTGCAGTTCGCCGAAGAGTCTCAATATTTGTGTGCACAGCACAACCATTTCCAATATTTCCCCTGCGAAATTCTTTATGTCGGTCAGATTGAGGTAGTCCGCTGCCAGCGCGCTTTCGCCTTCGACGAAGCAACTTGATTCGGCGCCACAATGTATAAAGTTCACCACAACGGCAAGCGTAAGTGCCTCGTTGACCCTGTTCACCGTAGCCATCTTTGTTTTTCTGTCAGTGTTACCACCACATGGAGCATTTTTTTGAAGTTGCGAATAGTGAGAAAATTGAAGCGATACCCTTTTGAAATATTCCATGATTCAACTTTGCGGGAAGGCTGAACGAGTTTGAACGGCTTCGGAAGGTTGAACAGCTTCGAACCATACCTCGAACGGACAACTTCATCCGCAGCACACACTAATATTGCTTTAGGCGCTCATACTTGGGTGATTGTCTATTAAAAAGGAACTATTGCGGATATCTGAGGCAACAGAACAACACGTGAATATTCTGTATATGTGTTGTTATACCGGGGAAGGCATACAGAAATACTTCCAAAAACCGTAGCATTTATCATGCTGAGGTGACAATGCAACACTACGCCTAAAAAGGCAAGTGTTTCCAACGCTTGCTAAGACGACGCGGTGTTGAGACCTGCCCATCGCTTTGCGTTCTACACCTTATCGACTCCAAGACAGGCACGCACGCATTCCTTCCTCTTCAATGACAACTACCACAAAACACTCGTGTCTAACGTGCCCCGATGCACTTATTCGCCTTAGCTGCACAAATAAGACACTCTAACAGAGTGCCTACAGAATACAATTCGCCAATTTTCTCTCACAAAACATCAAATAAACGTTTTGTTCACTCTCTCCAGACGCAAGACTATCGTCTTTCGACGACATTTAGGATGAAAGAAGAAGATACGTGGTCAAAGTTTTAGGGGCGAAGCTCCTTAAAGCGGCACCCGTTCGTCTTTCGTAGTCGTAGTCGTATTCATAGTGTGTAACCAGTGTTACAATTCGACCTGCAAGATGGTGCCGGTGGGAGATTTCTCCTGTGCTTTGCTGAACAATAAAAAGTTTGCGGCGTGCGTTTTAACTAAAAGCCTAATGCTCCTGTGTCTCATTCTCCATGAGCAGCCACTGGCATGTACATTGAGCACTATCTGACAAAAAAGAGGTGCTAGGTTATTTATACTCGCTGGGTGTAACCTCCTTAGTTTTAGAAAGGTTTAGCGAGCGTTGAGCCGCAGTGCCATGAATACAGTAAACTAGTATATACCATGAACTCGAGGTGGTTAAAAATGGGAAGTACCCGAAGGGCAAGCCCTAAGAAAGTGTGCGTGTGCCACCTCTCATTTAGTTCTTGGATTGTCCGCTGGATGGCGGTGCTTCTATATGGGGATTATATGACAAAAAGTGCGAGATGGTGGTACATGGAGTGTTGAATAGATAGACAAACGGACACACAGACAGAAGCATGGATGGACGCATGAGCGGATGCAGGGGCGGATGTTTGGACGAACGCAGGGACGGACGCATGAACAGACGCACGCATGGATGGACGGATGGACACATGGACGGTCACACAGACGGGTGCATGGACAGATGGAAGCGAGAATGAATGGACGGACGAATGCTTCGCCCAACTCTCCATCATTCACTCTGTGCATATGCTGCCTTTTTTACGTTTACATTACTACATAATCTTGCCTGTGAATTGTGTCAAAATAACCTCGGACCTTTAGGTTGTGGCTCAGGAAATGTTTGGTCTTATAATTACGGTTTGTATTTTCGCGACGAAAACACGTGGCCCTTGAGACGCTAGTTTTTTGTATGAAGAAGAGGTGAGTCCTGGCGGGAGGGCGGTGCAATACCTTATTTTTTGATGCGCGAAGTAGCGTCTACAAAAAAAATATGAATGCATGTGTCATTGTATAAGAATTTTCAATCGTCGCACGCTACATGACAAGCAGTAATTAAAGTTACTACATATGCAGAAATATGTACATTTGTTCAAGCAAGTAAATGTTCCAGCACAAAAGGTCAGAAATAAACGAGACGCAGTCAGTGAAAACGAGCCGGCTTTCTTTGTTGAAAAAAATATTTATCTGTAAAATCAACGCCATGCAAAGAAATACCCATTATTCAAGAAACATTTTACTTGTCTAAAGTGACAAAGAGAGATGGGGTACTAAAAACATAAATTTATCATCTTAGAAAAAAGGTATGGTTATATAACTGACACATGCCGCAGTGTTTGTACAGCAAAACGAATAAAAAGTAGCTGGCGTTGTGACTATGCTAAATGGGAACCTGTTAGCCAGGTAGAGCCATGAAGCTATTGAGCAGATACAGCAGCGAATGCCCCACCTGCACCTATTCCCCAAGCGGCCGTGAACGGTGCTTCAGACAGTACCGGCCTAGAGTTACTCTATATGCCACCTTTAGGTAGCAATGTTGCGCCACTGATAGAACTTGCCGCTCACGCCCCCATTCGCTCAGCGCGTTCACGTGCGCAAAAATTGTTCGTTTTCTGGAATGCCAACTTCACGGCGATGCGTTGCTACGCGTTCCTGGCTCACGAATTCACTTTCGTTCTTTTAAATGCGAAAAAGTTCTTAGTGAACTTCGGCTACTTTAAGCGTATCTATCTATCTATCTATCTATCTATCTATCTATCTATCTATCTATCTATCTATCTATCTATCTATCTATCTATCTATCTATCTATCTATCTATCTATCTATCTATCTATCTATCTAGCCGTTTACCACTTTTAGCTCTCCTGGTATCAATACCATGCAGCTTAGCATGGCATAACGTGACTGATGGATGAGTGTAAGTGACTAGTCATAACATGAAAATCATAGTATGTATGTCATAAAAGTCATGATTAACAATACATGGTCTTCCAGCTCTCGTGGTGGTTTGATTCCCATGACATGTTGCAAAACTGGTATGGTATGACATGACTGCATGGCGCATGCAAGCGACAGATCCTAACGTAGAAATCATGACATGCATGTCAAGTAAGTCATGAGTCAAGACTACAAACCACGCTCATGGTGCGCTTGTGGTCATTTTCTAGCTTCGCATATACCAAATTTGCTATAATGGGGCGTGAATGTATGACAAAGGTATGTGACTGGTCCAAACATGATAATCATCGGGTGCGTGTCATGTAACAAAATGACTACATGCCTCCCTCAGGGCACATTTCAATACACTTCGACGGTATTTAGCGCACGCGAGTGCCGGGGTTCGTTTCGTCGCGTCACGACGGCGATGCCATGCCAGGCGCCGATCTGCCTGCCGTATACTCATGACGATATATGGTGTTTTTTGGGGCAAGGGATCATTTGATGACCAAACAGCGCCAGTTCATGGGACAAAGAGTGTGGACAATGATTGTGATAAGCGGCTGTATAAGGGCCATAAAATTACTCGCGGTAAGGCGGGTAAAAACATACAAGTAATAAAATCATGACCATGCCGTGAAAGGTGTGTGTGGTGAGAATAGATGACAAGAGTTGGTGATTATAAAAAACGATGGTGGATATGAATGGCATTAGCACAAGTGCCTCACTCAGTCATACCCTTGCGTCCAAGGGCCGTGAGGCAAGCGCTTTCTTGTGTAGCCACCGCAGCAAAAACCTCTCTGGAGAGGTTATGCTACGGAATGCCCGGGTATATGATATGAAAACTATGAATTTCTTTTAAAAACGTTAACAATGATTTATGACTAAAAAGCGGTTCCCTACCGACGAGCATTGCAGGG